ATATATATATATATATATATATATCAAGATTAATATAAAATGATTTCAAATCTTATTACACATATATTAAAGGAAACTCTCTGAATCAGATGATAATATTTATTAAAAACAACCTGCTTATAATTTAGGTGTGGTAATAAAGTTATATTTGTTGCATGTCAGTGATTATTTTATCCAATAAAAATTTTATTGAAAGACTTACAAGAACCTAGGAAGACATGTAAATTAGTAATTTAAATCTATAACAAATGTTAGCATTTTTAAATGTTTCTTAAAAACATATTACAATGAAATCTTTTAAAATTTTCATAGCTGTAAATTCAGCTATATAATATAACATATAAAAATCATATATTTTATTTTCAAAATCAACATGTTCTGTACAAAGTACATTTCAAATTTCAAGCAGTTTCATCCAGTACTTTGCACTTTGAATTGTAATAAAACAAACCATACAAAAGATTTATTGACTCACTGCACCCAGTCATTCTAGAGATAATTCATTTTTTAGCCAAGCACACCTTAGAATGTCAGATCTATATAAGCTGTCAATTAGGTCATTAAAACTTATTAGCATTAAGCTTTGTAGAACAGTTGTAGTTATAAATCATGTCACTAAAACTTACCAGGAGTAAACTTTATGATATAGCTATAAAACATATTACTAAAATACACCATAAGTAAGCTTATGCATGAGCTATACTTCTCATAGTACAGATTTAAAAGTATTATATTTTACAGAATTCAGGAATGCTGTCTCAATTGCCAATTAGAGCTCAAATGCCCAATTTTTTATCTGATGAAAACATTAAGCTAAGGTTTTTCATTGTCATGGAAAAATGTCAATCTAGGAAGCTTCTAACCTCACACTGACCACCTGACATTTGTGATTATTTAAGCTAATAACACAGAGATGTACAAGCTTTGCCTATTTTTAATTGTCTGATACATGAAGAGGACAAATTCTATTTACTCAGAATTGTTTCTAAGAGTTCTTTTCAAGATTATAAAGAAGAAAGTTTTTATCCAGCAAAAAAAGACTGCTAGAAAGAAACATAGGTCATAAATTAGTTTTAAACTGACAAGCTAAATGCCACTTGTCTATTGTCAAGATTGGTGTCCCAACCACTCGACTATTTTTTCTCGCCTTGTACACATTAGTTTGAAAGACAGTTAAATTGCATTTAGGTTTTACTTTTATATTTTAGTTAATTATGTTTTACTTGTGTTTTAAAAATCATATTTGAAAGGTTTAATAATTTTTATAAAATGGAGAAAGTATTGCCTTGTTCTAATTTTGCCAGAGGCTAAAGTATTTCTGTCTTTCATTCTGTTCTACTATCCATGGGTACCATTGATGTGTGTTGACATAAATAACCAAAGATAAAGAAAATTAAAATTAAACTATTAGTGAAAAGGTAAAGATGTGAAATCATGCATATGGCCCAAAGAATATATATTAAGACTATTCTATGAAGGTAAGTACATATTTCCATTTCTTAGTTTTCAATATTTCATGCATTATACATTTCTGATAACAGGTAGAGTTAGTGTATAGACAGAAAATGGAAAATAAAACACAAACATTTATCTTAAAAAACTTCTGATATTTATTTAAGAGGTTCTAGAGATTATGCATATGAAATATAACAACTGTAAGATAATAAATAGTATTTTTATACTCAAAATGAAAATCATCTTGTAGGTGAACTGTTCAGGGTCCAAGTGCAAATAATTACATTAAATAATGAGTTTTTTTTTATTAAAAATGGTATAAAAAGTCAAAATTAAATTTTAGGAAGGTTCTTGTTAGATTTCAAACAATTTCATTCATTATTATATTTTTGGAACGAAATATAACAATAGCGACATTAGGTCATATGGATTGTAGGACATGGTAGTCATAAGGCTAAATGAATATCACAAGTTATTTTCAGGTAAATGTTTATATTTTATTTTCCATTTTCTCTATCATATATATCATTAACTTTATCTATTATCATAAACATACAGAACAATGAAATTAAGAAATGGAAATATGTACTTACCTTTTATCTCTTCGTTAAATAATCTTAAAACATCTCATCTTTTTCACAAATTTTTTATTTTTAATGTTTTCTTTTCTTTTCCAATTCTTTAACTTTTATTATTTATGTCAGCACCCTTCAACGGGTCCCCATGGGCAATATAACATTATGATCGGCTGAGAGTCCACTTTAGCCTATGGCAAAATGTTTTCCCTCACCTCTTTTCATAAATGATGATCAGCAAAGCAATAAACAGAAAAACTTAGATAATCATTAAACCTTTCAAATAAGAATTTTTAAACAAATAATACATAATTATCTAAAATATAAAGTAAAACCCAAATACAATTTCACTGTCTATCAAACTAATATGTTTAGGCAGAGTTTAATCATGGTTTAATTAAATTTTGAATGTAATGCAGTATCATGCACAGAAAGGAATTTAAAAATGACACTAGTTGGCACAGGATTAAACATAACATGTCGAGTATTCAATGCAAATATCTACACTTTTCTTTCTGCTTTTTATTTTCATACCTTAAAACTGTTGTTTAGCTAAATTCAGATTTATTCTGTAATTATCTTGCATGAATCTACCATTGTAAAGCAAACCTATGTAATACTCATGCAGAAACCAGTTTCACCTGAGAATACCACAATTATAAGTCATTAAAATATACCAATGGTAATTGCCTTTTTAGTTAAACTGTAACTGAAAATGAAGTCACTTAAATGCACCATTAGTATTGGCTTCTTTTAAATATAATTGTGGTTGTGAGTTCACAAAAATAAAAACTTACCAGAAGTAAGCCTTCCATGATCCCTCCAATGATAAATTAAGTCTAATACTGTTTTCAAAACAGGAGCTTGTCTTCTAAGCTTGTCTAATGAATACAGTTCTCGACATTTCAGTGGTCCAAATGAGCCCAAATCCTGGAATACAGGATGTCCTGTTTTATGTACTAGATTCTACATGTTATTTAACCTTTTCACTATGGCTGGGACATATATCTCCCAGTGCACCGGGAAATATACGTCCCAGCTGCAGTGAATACGTTAAAAAATCTAAATTCAGATAATGGTCAGCATGACAGTAATACATAAAATTTAATAAATGATGAGTGAGTTTTAATATAGAATTAAATTTAGGTATATTTCTCTGCAAAAATCATCCAACTGTCTGAAGCCAACAGTAAGACCCTCTTAATAAAAAATTAATATTCCTTGCTTTAATGAAAAAATAGACAATTTACACTATTTGTAATTTTTACAAAGTTTCAAGAAAAAGTTATACTCATAGCAACACCAGAATGCCTCACTTAGGAGAAATCCTAGGATAAAGTTTGTCTCTAAGATTTTTGGTAAATTTTAACAAAAACAAAAATTCCAAATGCTTTCAGTGACTTTCAATGTACCATTCTTGTGAAGTTCACTGTGGTGATAATGGAACACTCTTATAGTTGCATGTTAATAAACAGTTTGGGAAGTGATCATCATTCTTTAGAAGTCATCTAATTATAATACTAATAAACTTTGTATAATTGCAGGGTTACAAAGATAACAGAATACTTAAGGGGAGCCATTAAATGGTACAATTTCATAGTTGCAAAGGCAATGGGATTACTAAAACATTATTCACAGTAATAATACCACCATAGACATGATAATTCAAGAATATGAGTGCTGTACAGTTAGTCAAAGTGATATCACATTTAATCTCCAACTGTAATTAATGTTGTAGTTTATCACAACAAAAATCCTCATGGGGCCATTAAGTGGTGGAATAGATCACACTGATAATAGAAACAGATTTACAGTTGATATTTTAATTATAAACTTCATCAAAGAACCAGTATTACTTTTTTAGTGAGTACACAAATGATATAGTGATGATGGTGACATACCTTTATGGGATTAACAAATGGTACAGTTAGTTAAAATAATTCCTTTAAAACAAAGTAACATTACAGTTTGTTATTGACAATAACAAAATACACAATTTTTGAGGCAGTCTTTCAATGACAGAGCTTGTAATACCAATGGTGTTATGTTCTTACCGGATCAACTAATGGTACTGTTGGTGGCAGTGACAATATAACTCCTTGGGCAGCCATTTAATAGAACTACTGCTGACACGTTCAACAACCTTCATTACAAAATATAGCTTAATTAACCTGTAACCCTTATTACATAAAAAATGTGACCTCCTTAACTCTCTCTACATGGGCTCAATCAAATTGACTGACCATGACCACTTCGATAATACTAACTTTTAATATAGTATGTGTATTTTCACAAAATTTGGTGCACTTACAGTGAACATTACAGGTCTTTTACATACAAGAAATAAGATTTTTTAGTAAAGTATTTTTAATAAACTAAAAAAGATTTGTCTGTGAATATATCAAGTGTTTCTTTTGACTAGTCTGAGTGCAAAGTGATTTTCATGTTTGTTTGTAATTAAGCACAAAGCTACACAATGGGCTATCTGTGCTCTGCCCACCATGGGTATCGAAACCCGGATTCTAGCATTGTAAGTCCACAGACATACCGCTGTGCCACTGGGGGGCAATTTTCATGTTAAAAATAAAAATACTTTTTCTTCATCTCAAAAATATCAATTTTCATTTGTGTAATCTCTAAAAACCTCCTAGATACATTCAAGCGTTTTTTTTCAGCAAAACTTTATATTTATTATTTTCTCTACCCTAACTCTACACTAGGTTGGTCAAATTGACTGACCTTATATTCATAAAAAATTTAAAAACAAAACTCATCTAAATTACCTTTTTTTTTATTTTCAAGAATGACTTCAAATTGTATCATGAAACTACATTTGTTTATCCTAAGTAGCTTTAAGCTGGTAATAGTGTACATCTAGTCATAATTAAATTTTTGAGCTACTCCAAGCTGCTCTTGTGCATGCCTCATAAAAAAGTTTTGATTATATTATTGTTATTATGTATTTTAGCTAATCTAATCTTAACTAACCTTTATAAAGAATTTCCTATTTTTTACATTTTAGTTACTTTTATAAAATAAATAAATAATACACATGAAAAACAAGAAATGAAGTACTTACCTGGGCCTTCTTTTTTTTTGCTGTCAACTGTTGATGACACTTAACCCTACTTTTTTATAGTAATGGTAGTAGTGCACTAAATAATTTTTATTTAATCAACCAGTAGATTAGCTTTGACAAAACACCAGTTTGGAAAACTTTTACGATTACTTGTGAAAATAACAGAGCAAATTCCATGCTTATTCAGATGTTTCAAAGCATTAAACCAGTATACTTTAAACTCTACAAACTCCAGTTTTAATGCATTTCTATCTACATTGTTATTGTCCAGTAAGCCAGAAAAATGCTGTATAAAGTTGTCCAGCTCTTCATTACCAAAATGCTCAAATTCATTATGTGTTTTGGGCCATACTTCATAGTTTATTACTTTCAACATTAAAAGAAATGGGTCAAATTGTTTTTATGCATTCAAGTCACCAAATCTTTGACTCACACAATCAAGTATTCGAGTCTTGTACTCTGAAACTACATTCATAATATCTGTAATTTCTGATTCAGATATTAATAAATCCACACTTTTGTACCTAACCCACTCTCTTTGGCCTGTGTAAGCAATTCATTAATATCTGGGCCAAAAGCAGAACCAGATGACTTCTGGAGGGTATCGCACAGCACGTCTAGTTGTGCCATAGCATGTAGGCAATCAATGCTATCGTGATGCAAATTCAAGGAGAGCTTTGCTAGAAATGTTATGATTTGATAAAAAACCAAGAGATTTAGCACAAACTTCCATGACTTGAGTCTTTTGAAGGTTTTCTTTATCTTACCCTCCTCATCAGACTCCTCTAACATATTTTCTAAATGAACAACAAATATTTTGCACCCTTTTATAAAAGTATTACATGCTATAACTTTATGTTGATCCAACGTGTGCCATTAATGTTTTGGGGGTTTAGCACACCCTTCTCCATGATGTCGGCCAATTCCTTTAGGTCTCGCAAACATTTGGGGGCTCCTATGATAAAGTGCATAAAGATATAACAGTGTATCAATAACATTTTTCTCAATATATGTTCCTTTAAAACTGTCTTTTATTGCTAATTCCAGTCTCTGATTTAGACAATGTATACTTATTAACCATGGGTAGTCATTGTTCAAGAGAGCTGATAAACCTCTTTTGTAACCTAGGTTAACACTTGCACCATCAGTCATCATACCCACTATGTTTTGAAGCAAATTAGTAATACCAAGTTTAGTAAACGCTGTCACTGAAGTGTTTTTTCAACCCTTGTGGATCAGCATGTTTCAATGTCTTAAGCCAATAAAAAGCGTTCTTTGCATATTCATCCTCTGTCTTGTACAACACAAAGAGGAGGACTTCCTTCTCTGTCATACTGGTGTAAGTAGCTCCATCAAGAAGTATGGAAAAGTATTCTGCATTAGCAAGGTTCTGCAACAAGAAAATTAATGCTGTTTTATAATTTTACATATACAATAATTTGTTTTAATGCTTAGAGCTATTATGAAGTATAGCATCAACTGCAATATTTTACTCTGATAATTTTACTTCCGATAATTTTTTACTGTGATAAATCATAATCTACCACTCAAAATGTTCAATTTATATTTTGAAACTCGAAGTTACTGTTATGAAATATTAATAATTTAAATCACCTGTGATATACATGTATATATATGTTAGACAGTCAGACTATATGATTATGATATTGAAATTATAGATGTAAATATTTTACAAACATTTAAAAACATACTGACAGTACTGTGAACAGTATTCATACAATGTATATATAGTAAACTTTTATTTCTATTACTTACACTAATAATTTACTCAGTCTAGTTCATTAACTCATTTTTGTGTATGAAACTAATTCACAAATTAATTGGATCACCTAGGTGACCTTGCTAGATCCTAAGATCTATAAATTTATGAACAACTATATATCTAAGTTAGCTAGGCCTAGTTTGTAACCTGTTAATTGAATAGAACCTAATTAATATGAAAACCTCATTATGAATTAATAATAATGGCCTACCTGAACTAGTTCATTTTGCAGTTCCTCCCCAATAATCACTGTGAATTTGGAACATTTCTTATCTGTGCAGTACGTCTGACCTATTGGTGCCCCATGGTATCTCTGAAATGCTAAAATTGATGGAAACTTCTTAAACAGAACATCTTGAACAGCTAAGGTGTAGACAGTCTCCATAAGCATCTCTACCCATCTTCTCTCTTCTGCTGAACCTATGCTGAATGATTTTCTGATAGCTGTTTCTGCATAAATTTGCTCCATTGCTGTCTTTGTTTTAAAAGCACATTCAGCTGCCCTAGCATGCTTTTCCAAGTCTCAGTGTTTTCTGCAGGCATCTTTTTTTATTTTCTTTGGATCAGTTATTACCACTATATAGGCATCCCTCAAACTCTTGACATGCTTAATATGATCCAAATGTTCTGTACACAATTTACATTTTATGCTGTCAACAATTCCCCGCTTTTCAATATAATCCAGCTCCTGTTTTTTGGATTCAAAATATTACACCAGTTTTGAACTGTATTAACTGCAGGGCCCTGTGTATCTGGACACATGTTTACAATAAACCAAAATTGGGCTAAATAATATAACCCTATTAACAGTGTTTATTGCAAGCTTGCACACCTTTAACTGTCAGTGTCATTCCAGCCCAGTATTTCTGCACAGTCACTGGCCTATAGATCTATTAGTACATCCAATTGTGTGATGTTTGGTTTCTACAAAAATCCCACAACATGCCGATTCACATCAATGATGTCATACAAACATTACATGGGACTACTTTTCTAAAATTGGTTCATCAGCACAATTCATCTAGAACTTGGTCTATAGATCTATAGTATATATATTATAAAATACAACTGCCAAACGGATACATGATGCTTCAAGTACTAGTAACCATGACTTAAGTATGAACTAGGCCTAATCAACGTCTAAACTAAATTGTTTACTATTAGACTAATTAACATATTGTGCAAATATCAGTCATATTAGACTTTGCAGCCTAGAAATTTAGGTGACACTGTCACACTGGGCCTGGAACATTGTAGAGGCAGATAGGGGTGCTGGGTTTGCATTAGAATGCTATTATAGAACTCCCATCTTTCAGATGAATTTAAAATAGGTCTATTCTGTAAGTTTTGAATAGGTTTAGAGAACATCACTGAAGTAAGAATAAACTCATAAAGACATGTGTTTATGTGCACCATTCATCAACCCAACTCCCCCGCTTGCATATGCTAGAGTCTAAACTGGCATATCTCAGCTTTGAAGCTTTCTAGTGTGTATGGCTGAGTGGCAAGACTATTTCCACAAGGAAAAATACAGTATTAGGTCCTACATAAAATAAGTTGTGAGATTTGCAGTCACTGCTACCATGATTATTATATGTATAGCAACATGCCAGCTGTGTATCACAACTTGTGATGCAAACGTGGTCAAATTGAGTCCTGATGTAATATGTCATTTGATAGATGAAAACCTTGGCTTTCTGTTGGTTATAAGTAACATAATATTAAACATGAGAGAGAACTATTGACAAATCCTGAGAGAGATGAAGTGACAGGTAGGTGTTGCAGAGGGGTCTGATTTTTCATTTGATGGCTCTGTAACCAAATAAGATTGAAGGCTATGAAAATTATTCTTTCTCCAAGAGATGCCAATATTATAGTGAATAATGTGCTAGATTTCATGCTTATTGGAGGGGTGTTGAATAAATTAGAGAAGAGTGGATGCCTAGAGAAAAAATATCACATTTCTCACACTAGGGGAAATACAGGATTATTTTTAATATGGTCTGATCAAATTAAGATATGGATTATTAGCTATGATATTATGCTATACTAATTGGTATTACATAAACATAAAGTAATGTTAATTAAATATTGAATGTAACTCACTGAAAACCTCATGACATGCGCAGTAAAGGATGCCCATGGAGAGAGAGTTAAAATGTTATACAATGATACAGCTAGATACAGTAAAAATGAAATGCCTGAATTCATAAAATGGTATAGTGATTAAAAGCAGTAGCTGAAACTTATGGATATGATTACTTAAAAGCCACAGCTTGATAAAGCAAAAATGAGACACTAAATGAATTCATTTAATAGTAGAGTAGGTCACAGTGGTAATTTAACACTCTCAAGAGATACATATTTATCATATTTGCGTGTTAAGTTCCCTACAACAGTTTACCTCAACTAGCCTCTGACAATATACAAGATGAGTGTATATCAACCGGTCCAGCTGTTCAGAGCCAGTAGAAGGAGGATGGAGACTTATTCCAAGGCTTGGGCTTACTTGTTCTTTCTGGTGTTCAACTAGGTGTTGGGCAATGGAATCAAGCTCCAAGTCTGAAGTTTTAGCAGTGTTGTCTTGGTCCACATGGGGATTTTGCTCAACAATAACACTGAAGAAAAAGAACATAAGCATTGTGCATTAGAGAAAAAGTTAACACTTTCTTAAATCGAAAATGTATTTCCAATAATACTTACCTCATTTCACACTGCAGCTGTTACTTGAGTGCCAGGGTTTCTTACTTTGCCCACCTAAGCATTGGTCTGATTTTTTCTCACTTGCTCCAGTCTTTTATACCTCACTTAATTGCCCTTGATGATATATGTCTTGTGAAACTCTCCACCTACATCAATGAACCCTCTATTCTGGTATTGTATAAAAGCAACTCATTTTGATAGTGTTATCCCTTTTTTGAGACTGACTCAATCCACAGTCTCTAACACTGGCTTTTACTGGGGCGGAAAGGTGGGAGAGTGTCAGTAGAGGTAAGTATTATTGGAAATAAATTTTAGATTTAAGAAAATGTTAACTTCCAAAACATACCTCCTCTCACACTACAGCTAGAATCCCACATTGAGAAGGTGGAGGGGCAGGTGGGAGCATAATCCATACAGAAAAAATCTACATGGATCATGGGTGTGTCAACTGAAAATTAGCAGCCTAGAGGGGGAACCGCAATACATCCAGAACAGGTATGCTCTTTACCTGGAACTTAATTCATGTACTGTGGGTGGAACTTTATCATCAGTATTGGCCAGGCCCCAACGAGATAGCCAAGGTTCCACAGCTCAGGGTTGGAATTATAGTGCCATGGTCCCTATATCCCATGTTGGTGACTATGCCAATTGGACTGCAAGATATATATATATATATATATCCAATCTGTAGCCATAGAATGATGCATTCCAAGCCACTGGAATCACAACAAGAAGGTAAGGATCCCCAAAGTGGACAAACTTTCTCCTCAAGCTGAAGAAGTCTGTAAGACAACACCCCAGGCTCGGAATGACAGGATCTTGTATGCCTTACTCAACCTGAGGAAACAGGACTCATCTGGTCTGGAATTATGAATACTCATCCTCACTCTGCAACTGAGTGGGCAAGTTAAATTTCACTTGCCTCTAGAACTATGGGGAGGACATGGAACAAGCTGTGCTCAATCAAGGACCAAAGAGGGGACTACTCTGCAATCGGAATTATGAGCAAACAATGGACCCTTTTCCATGAAGAATGTACTGAACCAATATTGATCAAAAAGAAGGGGCATGCTCAACCTAACTGTATAGCTGAGCATCAAATATGAACCAGTGTTACGAGTAGGCTTCCATGTAGGTTGGTGCCTCTCCTACCGAAATCTGTGAAAAAACATCCGGAGACCCGAGTAGGAGGTCTCCCAACTTCACCCTCTTCTCCGAGAGTGGAGGAAATTCACTCCAATATTGTGAAGGAAAAGCCTCTGTCCACCACCCCAGTGACTGGAAAACAGGTGTGGTAAGGACTCCCTAGCTCCACTACAAGAATTTGGGGGTAATGTACATTGGGGAGTCCTTAGGGTCAGTGCTCTGGAAACAGTGCAACAATTGAACCAAGTTCCCTAAATTTTTAAAAGCAAACTGATCCTGATTTATTCAATCCAATGATTGGCAAGGACAGACAGGATTTCCTTAGGCTTTACTCATGATAGTCCATGAGTGGCAGTCCAGCATAGTACAGTAATACCTCTTGGTCAGCCTCTAAGTGGCCTAATGGAACACCTCATTTCTACAGAGCATGTTGCAATCTAGATAAAGTATATTGAATTAGTGGTTACTAGTGCAGAATTGGTTTGATAAAAGCACACCATGGAGTATGATCCTGGAGGTAAGGGACCCTGAACAGTAAAGAAGAGACAAGCATAGTAATGAAAATATCCCTCTGTGTAATTTAGTAGAAGTGGTTAAGATAGCTACAGGGGGTAGTCAAACACCATCAGATGAAGATAATACCAGATCATGCAAACAATGTGAGACAAAAGTATTGGGGGAGGTCCACATACCAGCCCACACAATGTCCTCAAGGGGGCAATTCAACTGGGCTGCTAAGGGCATAGAAATGTGACGAATCTGATTAGACGTGACTTACAGAAGATTCCTTGCCTTCAAAGAGAGCCCAGAATAAGTAGTATGGAACAATTTCATACCCACCTCGTCAATGTAACCAGGGATGAATAAAGTCATTGTTTAGCATCTCTAAAGGCATTAGTGCAAGCAACAAAACCTTCAAGACCTTCACTGGACATAATAAATGATTGAAATCTGATCAGCCATTGAAGTGAGAAATAATGATCAGATGAATTGGTGAAAAGGATTTACCCCCTTTCGTGGCTGATAGTGTCCTAGGGAAAAAGAATCAGTTTGAGCACATAGATAAACTGATAAAGCGTCCTGTGGACAATCAGCACAAACCACTCCAACCGACAATGTCTGCAGGTCAGCAGCAACAAAAAATAAACCTTCAGGTAAAGGTGAGATATTTCTCAAACGGGTGTTGAGAAAGAGCATATAATGTAACCTTAGTATACAAATTAGGTAAATGGAATGGACGTTTGGGACAAAGGACCCAAAGTGACTTGAGGAAGCCAGAGTACTGGTAACTCTAAGAAATTTTGTCTTGAGTATCGAATGGTAGTCGATAAGGCTACCTTATACAGGGCAATTGTGGATGCATGCAAAACCTTTGCCAAAGAGACAGGTCAAAAACGAGTTATGGTTGGCACTTCTCATCGAAGTGGGTTCAACCACCTATCAATACACCACTGCCAAAATGTGTGCCATTTATGTTGATAAAAGTCCATTGCAGGACTAAGCAAAGCCTGAGACAGATACATGGCAACCTTAGAAATTAAACCTTGATACAGTGTGAAGGACAGCATAACCTCCATGCCTGAAGCTTCAGCTTCTGGATAGTCAGGTTTACCATGTCAGATCATGACTGCCTGCACAGAGAAGGCCAAAGAGGAAGTAGAAGAGGCTCACACTCCCAAAGGTACCACAGATGCAGAAACCAGGGAGTAGCTGCTAATCTGGTGTTATCAACAGGACCAGACAATGGGTTGGAACAAATCATAGTTAGTACCATGAGTAACATATGATTTGGAGTTGTAATCCTGTCATGATGGAAGGCAGCCAATGCCAAAGCCTGAAGGTGAGGTACTGGAGACCAAATTGCCAGTAGTAGAGTGTTCCAATGAGTAGCAAAACCACCAATCATCAATGTTTCATAATGAAAGCCAATCAAACAGAAAACCTTGTGATGTAGCAGCTACTCTGTTGGGAGAATCTGTTTGGGTTGAGACAGTTGATCTGCTACCACAGTTATCACCTGCGGAACATGGCAAGCTAGTAAGGTGATATGATAGGAGTGGTGCTGAGAAAGGAGATCCAAAGTTGGAAAACAAGGATTCCTGGACCCAGTGCCCCTTCCAGAGAAATACAAGACACCATCATGGAAATGTCGAAGTGAAGCTTGACAGTGTTCCCCTTAATTAGCCCAGACAATGAGGCATCACCTTTTGAACAACAAGAAAGACTGAAACGTTGTGTAGATAAGCCTCGTCATCTATAAGTAAACCCAGGAATTTCTTACTGTTGGGATATGGACCCCATCCCTGAAGTGAGGTATTCATGAAGAGATGGATCTCTGGACATGATGGCAGCAGAGGAACCCATATCTTAGTACTATCCTGACTTAATAACCCCTCAAGATCGAAAAATGAAACTAAGTAAGGAAACTGAAGAATCCAGTGAATCAATGTTTATGATTCCTTGGTTGCATAAAGACCATTGAAAGGATCTCTTGTGCACTCATCCCAAAGGCATGAGGGATTCAAGTGATGTCAAAAATTCACAAAAGAGAAACAACCATCCATGCAGTGGAGGAAGGAGAAGAGAGTAAGAGTTGGGCTTCCTGTTCCATAGTGTGGAGCCAGATGGGAGCTGGCTGAGCCTGACTGAGATATGTGATAAAAAAAACCAAAAACGATGACATATTGAGTTGGAGCCAGAACAGTTGTCTCAGCTCTCAGAAGGAAGCCCACCTTGGTTGTTTCTAAAAGTAGAATTTGGAAGAACCCATACAGTGATGATGCTAGTCTGGAGGTAAAAACCCTGAACTGCAGTATCGACAGTGGTGGGATGCTACCATTATGGCAATGTGCATATAGGAGTCAACTTCATCGAACTTGAACATCTACAATATTCATAAAAAATGCCAACTCAGATTGAAGAATGAGTTACTTGTGAATCTTGGAGAATCTAGTCACTGGCATAAACGAGAAAGATTGATGACTGGATACCAATATCCTGTCTTCTTAGGCCCAATAACTGACAAAAATAAAACTTCAGAAAAACTAGCATGACACTCTCACTCTACCCCCAGACCAACTGAACTCTGATAGCCATAGAACTAAGTTCTGAAATCCGGGGATCTGCAGAAGATAAAAACCCTAAAGGTTGGGTGGATTATAGTTGTGAAGATATGAACTATATGACTAAACCTGTATCAAGGACCTGTAGTGCCCATGGATTCGTGGTTATGGTTATCACACATTCAGAAATACTCAGAGCCAAGCCCTCACAGACCCTGAAGGCATACAATGATCACCAACACCACTGGCAGCATTCCAATTGAGCAGCAGAACCCTTGTGTATGAATAAAATCTATTCTGGGTACCAATGTACTGAGAGGCTGATGTCAGGGGTTGGGACCCTCAAATAAGAGTGTGTGTGTGTTTTGTTATAGCAAAACCATATCGGGCTATCTGCATTGTCCACTGAGGGGAGTTGAACCCCTGATTGTAGCATTGCAAGTCCAAAGACTTACCAGTGTCCTACTGGGGGGCCCTTGATTAATGGTGGAGCTATGACCCCCTGTAGGAGCCAATGAAAGTTGAGACACCAATGACAACAGGGATGAGTGTAGAAGCTGACAAATGAATCAGTGTGCATGCTAACAAAGGTTCCAGTTCGTCATCAATGAAGTTGGTTATCCTGAGAGTCTTCAAACAAAGTTTCGTGTTAGGAAAACAAAACGTTGGATCTTAAAGTTGCAAGTCTGTAGACTGACCCCTGTCCTACCAGGGGACATTGATATATTCAAGTTAACTACAAACTCTGCTTTTGAACCCCTAATTTTGAGAAGCAGATGTATTATTTGAGAATCGAAATATGCATCCACCTGGCAGTGGTAGGCAAATCATGGAGTTCCGACAACTGTAGCGGTTATATCACAGCTGTCTCGTCATGTAACTGAGCAGTAAACTCCCTGCATGAACCACAGTCTCCATGGATGAAGAGAAGCCAAAATAGATGTCTCAGCTCTGAGAATGAAGCCTGTCTTGGTTGTTTCTGAAAGTAGAATTTGGCAGAACCCATATGGTGCTGATGCTAGTCTGAAGGTAAAAACCCTGAACTCCATGGATGGAGAGAAAACTAAATATTTGCTCCCAGACCTTACAGCCATCAATTAAAGAGCAGGCTCAAAAGCAACTGGGGAAAGACCCAATACACGCTCTCAATGGACCTACTGAAGAAAACAAATCAGAGGCAGCTTATCCCAAAGTGGCCTCCTTTTTTATTTCTTTTAAAGACTATTCTGATAACAATTGTTTGGAACAATATTTTGTCAGGTAAGCTTATTTTGTTAGAGCAAAACAACAATGGGACATCTGCTATACCCACTATAGAGAATTGAACCCTGCATTTCAGCATTGTAAGTCCATAAACTTACTACTGTCTCACAGGGGGACTGAGAAGCCATCAGAATTAAAGAAAGTGCAAAAAAAAGCTAATCGAAATTCTCTCCAGAATGTCCAGAATCGCCCTCAATTGAAGCCTCAGAGAGCTACCTGGAAGAACACCATTGAACCGAATATATGTCTCCATCTCAATACGAATAAGATCACAGACAGTCTCAACTCAGAGTGACTCCCCCACAGATTTTTGTGCAATGCTAGATATTAGAGGTTGGATAAGAGAGACCTGTTTTTGTCTCCGTGCCAGAAATAAGAATCCAGGAATTCATACCATATATCAGCATGCCAATCAATTTTTTTTTACGAAAATCAACTAGGTGACACTAAGAATGCTCAAAGTATGGAGAAAGCCATTAGTGAACGCTTTGTCACCAAAAAAGTGATAACATTATCTGAATGAAGTGTTTTTATACAGTACCATGATAGTGGGCATATTGACATAGGTGGAAAGTGTCATGAGACAAATATCGCCAAGGGCAATAAAAGACTGGATCAAGTGAGAAAAAATCAGACCAATACTTAGATGGGCAAAAGATGAAACCCTGGAAGCTGAGTAATAGCTTTAGTGTGAGAGGGTGTATGTATGTTGTGGAATCAAGTTTTTTTCTCTTTGAATGGATCTTTTGACAGGTTCATATTTTGATTATGATTTACAATTAGAATAAAATACTTAAAGGTTTAAGTATAATTATGTTGTTAACAACAACACTGTAATATGAAACACAACTAACATATTACTCAAAACTAACTGAAAGAAAACAATAAATTAAAGTTTTCAAATTTAAAACTATAGTATGACCTAACTATCAACTGGTCATTTCCAAAATAAAAAGAAATATATATACAGAACTAAATCTTACCTGAATAAATCTTTTTGATACTCTCTTGTACTGAACTACTTGGACTTCCTTTGAAGGAATTATAGTAACAGAAAAGGGTTTGTTGAAAATCCACTGAGATTTTAAAATTCCATAAAACTACCATATGATAGTTACTTTGGTAGAACAGAACAATATTAAGAAGTTACTCTTCTAATATAAATGATAATTCACTGAGAGAGGATGAGAAGACCTCCTCTGAGACACAAAAGAACAAGAAGGATAAGGAAAATTCTGAATAAATTCTGATAAAAAGTAAATGCTGCACAAACAAACAGCATTTAAAATTTATGAAGAAGCATTGGAGATATTAATTCTTCCATCCTCCATTTTACAAAGTTTCATAAAAAATCAACAAAAACAACGAAGTTCAAGGATGTGATCTGGTATTCCAAACATTTAATAAAAATACTAATATTTGACAATATTGCAGTTGCACAGAATTAATTTGTATGAAACTGGATGTATCTATTTTTATCACACTTGTAAATAGTTGAGATAGTTTTATTTTTAAGCTCAAATTCTCAGAACTTTTTATGACATCACTATACTCACAGAAATATTTTTCTAGTTTCTTTATATGTCAATATACAACCTCTGAAAAATGTCTTAAACTGAAGACTTTGTAATAAAATATATTAAACATGACAAAATATAATAAAATTTCTCTTACCTTTCTTCAACCACTTCTGAGTCACTATCTAATGCTGAATTGAGAAAATCAAAACATCCAAGGGCACTTTCTACAGACATACTAACTCTGGAACCTGAAGATTCTTTTCCACTGCCAACATCTTTCTGTGATGCATGATAAAAATTTATGTTTAATAATCAATCTTGAAACGCATTTCTAGTAATTTATACTGCAAATTATGTATAATAGTTAGAATAATTAATCAAACTGAGCAACATTTGTAAAAAAAAACTTTAATGTAATCTAGGAAAACTTAATATTGGTTACTAATAACTAATAGTACAACCAAATGAAAACTCTTTGAATATTGATTCCAAATAAATAACCTGTTCTTAGAATCTATTGCTTTGCAATATACTACTTTAACTGTAACCCAAAGCTGGAATAATAAACTCATAATTTTTCAAAGTTGAATATTAAACAAGGTCATATTTAACAGCAGAAAGTACCACTAATAATAATGAAAAAGAAAAAACTAAAAATTACCCGAAAAACTCTCTCCATCTCTATTAAGTTCTGTTGCAAATGTAGTAGTTCAGGATATTGTCCCTGAATGTCCTCTAGACATGTCCCGAGACTATGTACAATTTCATACAAACTACTGCTGTCCATATGAGATCCAACTGATGAACTGCCAAAGTCCATACTACAACATTCGGAACTATCACCACTCTGGATACCTGACCACCTTTGCGAGGTTGTTGTCTCTACTAGCTGCAACTGTGGTCGATCTGCTTCCTGGATTTGACTAGAATGGACTGAAGTTGTTAGTACGTGTGTTGTCATAGCAACTGAAGATGAACGACGAAGTCGACTGCTACTTAACCCACCAGGCCTGCTTAAGAGAGCTGAATATGCATGAACACCAGATGGCAGTCCCACTGCCTCAACATCAGGAGTTGTGACTGTGGAACCTGGAGCTGAAGCAGAAGTGCGACTACAATTACTTCTAAAATTGTGCAACATTTCCATTCTATGTGATTGAAGCTGGGAAGACCACTGAAATATTTCAAAATTCGGATGTAATTATAATGATAGTTAGTTCATAAAATTACAAGTTCATTTTCTGGATAAATCTCACAATGAAAGCAACATTAGAAGCAATAATCTTTAACTTTTTCTTTGAAGGAACTCTTAGCTAGAAAATTACAATATACTCATAATGTTCATAAGTAAATAAATAAATAGACTGTTAAATGATTACATCAAGTTAATATATTTTTTCAGTGCATTTTGTTTTACTTTTTATTTCCCAAGCTTTCAGCTTCAACACTGGAACCTTTGGCTTGCAAGTAAGTTTTCATGTCTAAAATACAAATTTTTTCATTAACAGATTTTCAAAAGCAATACTGAAATTTCATCTAGTAAGCAACAAATGATTTCATCAACACGTTTGAATGATTACCAGAAACTATGATTTTATATTAGAATTACATAGAAATGAATAATTAATCTTTTTTTTTATAACTGAAAAGTTGGAAGACAAGGCAAATAAAAATAATAATGATAAAATTCAAAAAATAATTCTTTAGATCAATATTACATACAATAAACTATTTCATTTCTTTAACAAATGACAACTAGCAAGAGTTTACCAAGTAGCCACAAACATTTATTTGCCATTATGGTAAATAATCCTTTAATTTTCTTTGTAATACAGCATTTTTTTATTAATGATTTTCATTTTACTTAAATTTATGCTAGGATCTTCTCTAGTAGGTGTGATGCTACTGCTGAAGTCTTTATAGCAGAATGTGTCCTGTCTCCTTGGTGTTCCAGCATCCTGATGTTGAAAGAGTGTGAGGTTTCTCTAGTGCACTGCTTTTATGTACACTCACTCTACATACTGTAGATTATGTTTACATTTTTGTGTAGTTGAAGATGGAGTTTCAGAAAGATGTCACATTTGTGTTTTGAGGGCTCTTAAAAACTCTTGATTGTTAAAGGTTTTCACAATCTTTATTTTTCAGTGTTGCAGAATATATGGTAAAACTATCCTTTTTTTAATAGCTATTTGGTGTTTTTAGTATGTTACTGATGTCACAGTTGTTCTTTTTACTAATTTCTTTGGATGACTGGTGTTAGAAAAAACTTCAAGTTTACTTAGTTTAGTTTCTATACATTTGTTATTGTCTGTCAATTTTCTTCTAAAAATCAGTGTTTTTATGATACTATATTTTATTGAGACAGAAAGGCATAATATGAATCTCAAATATTTATTTGTATGAACTGCTTTCCAATGAACAGTAGCTTTTAGCTCATGGTAACAGGTGTCCTTTGTAACCAATACATCTATAAAGGGTAAGAAGATGTTTATTTCCACTTCAAAGGTAAATTGTAAGGAACTGTGTTAATTACTTAAATGTGACTCAAACTGATTTAGTACTTCTTTCCATACTGCCAAAAAATAAAGCCAAAATCAAAAGTGTGTAATGCTCATGAGATGGCTGTCATATGTAAAACTTGGTAACTATGAGAGAAAGTTGTGAGCCAAACCATCATTCTGAATAACAGAAAATTCCAAATAGTTTTATTGCAGGGAAATATGGAAAAGTTTTGGGACATTTTGAATTTTCAGTAAATGTTACGAGTGCTTTATACACAAAAAATTAGATTTTTAAAGTACTTTTATAAAAATTTTGCCATGAATATATGGAATAAAAATACTATTCTTCATCTGCAAATTATCAAATTTCATTTGTGTAAACTCAAAAACCTCCTAAATAAATATCAAACGATAATTTTAGGTAAAACTTTATATTTTCTGTTATTTTCTCTTCCATATTCTATACACATTCAGTCAGTTTGACTTACCCTGTAACCACTACATAAACATACAAAATAAATCTCAGTTACCCTTTTTTATTTCTAGAATGACTGTAAATTGTAACAGAAAACTACAGTTGTTTATTGCAAAAAGCTTGAAGCTCTTAACAGCATACATCTATTTCTACTTAAATTTTATTGCCCTTTGAACCATACCTATTTAATAATCCTGCTGCACAAGTAAATCAATTGATGAATATATGTGTATATCGAATTCTATGCACATTCAGTCAGTTTGACTTACTTTGTAACCATTATAGAAATATGCAAAATAAATCTCAATTACCCTTTTCCTTTCTAGAATGACTGCAAATTGTAACAGAAAACTACAGTTGTTTATTGTAAAAAGCTTGAACCTCTTGACAGTATACATCGATTTCTACTGAAATTTTACTGCTTTATTCCCTTTGAACCATACCTATTTAATAATCCTGCCGCACATGTTGTAAATCACTTGACAAATATGTAGCTCACAATACTGTATCGAATTACATAATGATGAGCTGCTTGCGAGCATACCTCCTACAAAATTTTTATTGTTATTATTAGTTTCATTAAATTACCTCATCTAACCTAATAAGTTTCTAATTTTTACATTTTAGTTACTTTTATAATAATAAATAAAGAATACATGTGAAAAACAAGAAATATAGGACTTACCTGTGTATTCTTGTTTTTTTGCTGTTGACAAAACTTAAGTTTACTTTTTTTTGTACTAATGGTACTACTACACTAAATAATATTTATTGAATTAAATAATGACCTAAGAAAATACAGCAAACAATGTCCTTTTACTATCATAATTTTTCTGGCTTTCTAACTATGCAATAAGAGCCTTTATAAATTCAGCTAAGCTTGTTGATGTGCTTCCCGTGAGAATAAAGCTTCAAACTGAAGGTGAAATAAACAGTTCCCTGTATAGAAAATTAAGTAATATAATATGTCACTTGATAGATTAAATATTTGGCTTTATACTGGATATACATAATATAGTATAAAACGTCAGAGAGATTTACTGGCAATTTGTGAAAGAGAGGATGTGACAGGTGAGTGTGGTAAGTGGGTATGATTGTCTAGTGTATGGCTCCATAAACATATAAGATTGAACATTATAAAAATTATGCTTTGCTAGTGTAATATCTATATTATAATGAGTAATTTACATTAAATTCTGTATTTCTTGGAGGAATGGTAAATAAATTATAGAAGAGGGAAACCTAGAGAACAAATGTCACAATTCTCATAATATGGGAAATTGAGGATTTTTTAAATATTTCCTTGTAAAAGTAAGAACTTAAAACATATATGATATAAAAACTTGATCCATTAACTATGTTTCAATGCCAAGTTTATGCATATACAATGAAAACAAAGTAGTTTAATTAGATTTTGAATGTAAATCAAATCTCTAAAAAGTCGTGACCTGTCCGTGGCAAGTGTGTTAATATCTATCTGAAAATTATCAGTGATAGGAATTCTTATAAAGAGTGATAATGCATAAAAGCTTGGATGAATATTCCCATCATGAACCTGCGTTTTTGATCATCTTGACAAGATGTTCAGAATTGTTAATAAAAACTTAACAGAATTACATGTGAATGAACTAATATAACAACAATTAGTCTTATGAGTTTGGGTACTATATGAAGTTGTTAGACAATAATCAATGATGTTTCTAGTAGTCTCTTCTGCTTTTTTTGTGAGAAAAAGACCATAACATAAACTTCAATAACATACAACTTATTGACTCAAATCATAATAAAAAAGAAGGAAAAGTAAAGAATAATATGCTACAGTGGACCATAAAAGTGATTTGCCTACTGGCATTCATCAGAACCATGGTTACCTTTTGATTTCTTGCTGATTACCATTTGGTAAGGAATTGAATTTAATGGACAAAATACTAATCTAAACCTAAACTAATGAATTTTTCTAAATTTATCATTATTATTTATCTAGTTTTCTGACAATTTCAATTATAAAACAGATTAATTAGCAAAAACGTTTGCCTGAATTTAAATTTTAATTACTCTTTCCTATTATGTTTTTGTAATAAAAATTTTAGTTTCTACTAAAAAATATTCATAAAACTATTGGTGCAAACTAGGGGAGATTTCAATGTTAATACTGTTTTTTAGGAACCTCTGTTTCCAAAGGTCCTATTAGTAAAACAATTTGTGCATTACTCATAAAAACTCATCTGCATTGGAGCCAAAAGCTTGGGAAATAAAAAGAACAGAAAAAGACTCATGGAGAAAGTTCACTGTAACATGTATTCATTGAATTATTTTATCTCACATTAAGAGTTTGAAAGATAATTTGTTATTTTTACTTTGGATGGCAAATTTTAAAAACTGCCAAGATTACGAAAATACAGATATCATATTATCAAAGTTTTATAATCTTTGGAATCTCCATTTGAAATATCAAAAGTACAGAAGTATACCAAGATATATTTCTCAAAATCAATACAAGAAAATGCAAAAGAATAGCCCAATAAACAGAAGAGGTCATTTTTCCTGAAAATTGTTCAACAAGTATGAATTTTAGTTTCTAGTAAAAATTTTTTCAGAAAAACCACTGGTTCACACTAGTGGAGATTACAATGTAAATATTGTTGCTTCGGAACCTCTGCTTTCAAATGTCCTATTAGTAAAATAATTTGCAAATAAAGTTCCAAGACACTGGAGAGCATACCAAACCTTTGGTTACTGATGAGTTTCATAATATCAACAGAATTGTACATAAATGTATAAAATGTGAAGTTAACACTAAAAACAAAAATCAAGAAACTGAGTGATATAATACATCAATATAGTCATAAAACATCCAGCAATTATACTGGAGCTTAACTAAGCTGTTGTCAAATTCAGCAAAAACATTTTGACAAGTTATTAAAAAAAAAGTCAGATATCAGTAACAATGAACCAAAAACTAGAATACATTGGAAAGCAACCCATGTAAACATTTGACCTTTGTTCTGACTCAATAAAATATAGTAACACTGGTGGGTAGAGAAAAAGATATGTAGTTAAATAATTGGAAATAATTTTAAAACAAATTAATCAAATGTGATTTCAGTAATATATCAAAACATTCATTAATCTTCACGAAAAATGCAAGATCATTTTACCATATATTCCAAGGACTGGATTAAAAGAGTAAGAAGGACGATGAAGATTTTTAACATATAAAGAATTTTTAATAACTTTCAAAAATGTTTGATATCTTGATGAAAGAAAAGTGGTGACTTTACTTTCATAAAGCAAACATTGTAGTCTAAAGTATCATGTGAGTGTTAAAAATACAGAGGTAGAGACTAAAACTGAGAAACCAAATGTCAACATCACAATGAAAGAACTCCAAAGAGATATAACACACTATAGTATCACAAATTCAAGAGGAAACCACAAAATAAATTAGAAATAAAAACTGTTGCCAAGGGATTCAATACTAAAAAATGGGAAATATAGAGAGTTATTTGCCATAGTGCGACATGAATATGGTCTTCCTAAATAATCAGAACCATGGTGATACTCTTGTTGGTCATCACTTGTAAAAGAAACAGTTTATTGGATACAATACACAATACTGATCTTAGTTTAAACAAGTGATTATCCTAAAATTTTCCATTAATATTTTTGCTACCTAGTTTTCTGTGTTCTTATTTTTTTTTGAAGACTAAATAATATAAAAATATATCTGAACCTCTATTCTTAATTACTTATTCTTATATAAATGTAATTTAAATTTTTGTTTTTAATAATTATTCAAAACTTTCTGTGAAGCCATTATTGCACATTAGATAACATTTCAGTGTTAAAATTTTTGCTTCAGGACCTATGCTTTTGAATGTTCTACTAGTACAAGAAGTTATATGATATTTAAGAAATTGACTAGCATTATCCGAAGTTATCAATATATAACATCTGTGTAAATATTTATTAAAAATTACAATTAACAAAGTTTATACTGCATTATTTTCAAAACAAATAAACAGCATGTCAGCTTACAACTGAACCTGGAGATCTGACTCTGCAATTATCTTCATCTAAGAAAGACTGGGGTGAGCTTTGCTGCCTTGAAATAGGAGAACTTAATGTGCTAGATAGAGGAGGTAAAGTTCGTGAAATGGTATCTTCTGAACAACCATGGAGGGGGCTGAAAAAAGGTAAATTATATTTTACATCTTACAGCAATTAACTACATGCAACCAGATGTATATATATATAAACTCATTAAAAAAAGTAAGATATTTTCAGAGGGAACAAATTGCTGGTCAAGTGCAGCACAACATTGTATTTACATTTTGCTTGAAGATAAAAGAAAATATACAATAGGCAATGTGAAATTTTTTTATTAGCTTGCTTAATATGCAGTTTATTAAATTCCAAAAAAATGAATAAAAGTAATAAGGAACAAAAATTTAACATTATTGTAGTAGCCTGTTTAAATTGGAGATTTATTAAGATTACAAAAAGTTTCATTTTTTTAGCAATAAAGCTTATGTTAGAAAACAATGTGAACATTGATAGCTAAATCTAAGTTTTAATGTAAAGACACAGATCCACGTGGTGGGATATATACACACACACTTAGTTCTAGTCTAATGGACAATGAATTCTTTTTTTTTTAATGCAGGTTTAAAAGTTAAACTAAATATGTTTCACTGATCAGTGGGCTGCCTGAAAACTTGAATTACACAAATGGTCTGAACTACTAATGATCTATCATAAAAGTTATTATTAGTTGTACTGCAGTTATGTTAGAAGTGTGCAAAAATGCAAGGTGGAACCTAAACTTTGATGTTGAAATCTCAATACTATGATATCTATCTATCTATCTATCTATATA